TTTATGCTCTCTACCGCATCTATTAGTGCTAACTTTTTATTTGAGGTCATGTGACACCCTCTTCGATTTTGTTTTTTTCAGAATACAAGAGTGATGAAACATATTTGTGTAAAACATATGATCCATTATATATATTTAAGAATTACACAGGTTCTTTAAATACATCGAAAATCAAAAACATTAAACTGATAGTGCTAATAGTGTAATAACCAAATTTTAATGTCTATGCATAAATTTATTGCATAGATGTATACTGTGCATGTGTTTACATATGTAGTTTATTGTATATGTTTTATCAATTTATAAAAAGCAAAATGCTCTCACAAGCTCATGCTCTCATAAGAGAAGACACATACACACACAAACCTATACTTAGTATCACACTCATAAGATTATTAGAAATACATATCAAGGCATTTACGTTTGTGTCAAAAAAAAAAAAAAAAAAAAATCTACTCAACTAATTACAGGGTGCTGTTTTTGTTGGAATAAAAGAAAAGGTCTATCATCCCATTTATATGTATAGATGTAAAATGCCTAGTGTCTATATATAGATACATAATTCTTTTATTACTGTAAAATAGTGGGTCTAACAATTCATATTTTCAAAAATATATGGACAGATATGGAACAGTATGCTGCTTTCCAAGTGAGTGTCAGAGGACAGAAAAGCATTGGGTGCATTAAATCAAATCAAGAATGACACAAGAAATGGAGAGAAAAACAATTTGCATTAGGAGAATAATTATATATATCCAGCATTACCTATACTATTTCTCCATTTGCCTTTTTGAACACATTCAACTACCTATCCATGATGGTTTTCACAATAACTATTTAATGAAAATTACATAGTTTGCAGAAGTGCCTTAGAGATAAATATCTGAAGATGGTTCACATGACCAACAATTTCTGAAAACATCCAATAGTCCTGAATTGATTCTACAAGGTTTTGACCGTGATTGCTTTTCCTGGTCTTCAAACATGCAGTAACTTACTTTTGGAATTAATTAATAAATAGTGAAATAGATATGTTCATTCATGCTTTAATTGTGTTTTTTTATTAGTAAACATAAGAAACTAAACATTTCACTGCATATAAAGAGCAACTTTGTGTCTGTAAATAAGTTATCTATCTTTGACTATTGATAAAAGGAATGATACTGTAGTTATTGATTGCATCACAGTTGACTGAATTGTAAATAAGATTATACAATGTAAATTTTACTGTCATGTATTCTTGCTACATAAGGACTGCATATGTCTTTGGTCATTATTCGTATCCAAGATATCACAACCTCACTTGTGTATGCATAAAGTAGTGCTAAAAACATTCAGCTAGTTGTGGGCAGTAGGGCTTGTCACATTCACTGTTGCATTTTTGCCGAGCCTCCAGTTGCTTAAAAAGAAAAGGTCTCTTGCAAAAAGTACATTCCTGAAAGACATTGGGCAGGTCAGAATGTGCTTACATGATAAATAAAGCAATGAAGCAATGTATTTATTATTTTTTTTACTTGCTTAATAGTTATCTGGCAGAAAGCAATTAGCCAAGTTGGATTATGCTTACAGAATACAATCAGCAATATAATTCTTTTATGTTCACAATACACATAGTAAATATTGTCAACCGGTATAACTGACTTACATGCCCTTTACCATTCAAATGAACTGCTAAAATACTTACATCACCACATCTCTTATCATTTAAAGGCAGATTCAACTCCTTCCATATGCTAACAAGGTCCTTAACAAACTGATCCATCATTTCTGGGGTGTGCTGGGGTGTTGGGGCAATTCGAAGCTTCTCCTGCCCTCTAGGTACAGTCGGGTAGTTGATAGCTTGTACATAGTGCCCATACCTTCGTATCAGTTCATCAGACACTTTTGTACAAAGCATAGGGTCACCAACCTAGAAAGATATAATAATTTTTTTTTATCTTGTTTATAAATCCCCCCCCCTTTTATTTCTTATAAAATATATAACCGTTTTGGGATTATCATTATGACTTCATACTTTACACCATTCATTCACAAAGAAAGTTGTATTCAATACTTCCTTACATGAACAGGTAAAATGTGTGAAGGGCAGTGTTCCACAGGCAAGCCATTGTCCATGAGCAATTTGCGGAGATATTGAACTGCCTTCTGATGACTCCTCGCAGAGTTCGGCCTTCCTCACTGCTCAAGATGGTGACAGCAGCCAGAGCTCCAGAAACAACAGTTGGCGGTAAGGAAGTGGTGAAGATAAAGCCAGCTGCATAGCTCCGAATCATATCAACAAGGGTTTCGTTTCCTGCAATGTAGCCTCCAATGTTGCCAAAAGCTTTGCCTGTAAATAAATTACCTTGTCATTAGGAGAGTTATTCAAATAACATGTGACAAAATAGTGGAAGTACAGTACAGGGCTTAAAACAGAAATGTAAATCCATTAGATCATTAGATCCCTGTACATGTGCTGTCAACTGCAGTTTTGTTTTGTCAATTTTATTTATATATAGATAGTTCCATCAGATCTTAGTCACCTAGAAGTCAAAGATTAGGCCTACCTTTTCACTACATTTTCAGGAAAAAAAATATTTTGTAAAATTATTTTTTATCAATGCTGTGATGTTATTATTAGTAATGAAATTTCTTTCCAAAAATTCACGGCATAGGGTAAACAGGTGAGATCAGTTACTGACAACTTGGTGACTAAGCCCTTTTGGAGCCATCTGTTTGTAAACAAAATAAATATATTGAAATTACAGCCTCAGTGGGTTTGCCTTTTTTCATTCTACAGACTAAAATAAACAATAAGAAACAGAAAAGTCATACAATGATATACTAACCCAGGGTGCCAGAGACAATGTCAATGTTATCTTGCAGTCCATCCCTGTCAGCAATACCAGCTCCATTTTCACCATAAAGACCCACAGCATGTACCTCATCCACAAAGGTTATAGCTCCATACTTGTGTGCTACCTGAGATTAATTACAACAAGTTTTTAAATTAAAGTAATAAAATGATAATGCAAAGAGAAATACTAGGTGTCTATGTCAGGGTATCATTCTGATTTAAATTTACTTTACAAGGGAAAGACAAGCTAATATTAAATGGAATATAATGAATTCCTTAACTCACATCACACAGTTCCTTTAATGGACAAACAGCACCAGTCATGGAGTGAACAGTTTCAAAGGCTACAATCTTTGGTGTAGATACGTCAACAGATTTCAGTAATTCTTCAAGGTGCTTTGGATCATTGTGTCGGAATATGTGTTTGGGGGCCCCTGAGTTGCGTATCCCCTGGATCATAGAGGCATGATTTCCTTCGTCTGAGAAGATGTGGCATCCTT